TTATGTCAACAAGCCCGTTATTAGATTCAAATCATTTTTTAATACCTCGTATATTAAAATTCAGAAAGACTTGCTTTTTTTTGCGCTTTTGAGGAATAAAGGTTTTGTTGCCCTACTCGTCGACTTCATTTCGGCCATTTTGTGGCGGTTGGGGCTCGAGTGTTTGTGTGATTTTACAGTGTTTGGTGATTTTCTAGAAAATAAAAACAGCTCTGAACAAAAAAATTATACCACGTTTATAGACTTACCCTAAGGTATCTCTGAGCGAAATATAAGGATAGTGATTTTTCCGATCATGTGCCACCTCCCACGCGGTGATAAAAAAAATTCGCTTATAATTCGTAGGATAAGTATATGAATTTAAGGAAGAAACAATACAAGTAAAACAAATAATCAATGCACGGCAGAGAAAATAGTACTAAAAAAATTTCAAGACTTTCAAAATATTTTAATCCAGCGAAAAACAAATCAATATGAAAAGTTTGCAAACTGACCTTTGCTCAGGGATCTTGAGCAGCCACATCTCCTGTCGAAATCCCAACATAGCATTAGCAGACGAACACCCAACATCAAAAGAAAGACAGTAGAAATGAAATAGGCAATAATACCCAGCACTCTAAAACCGTGAGTTTCCTTAGGTAATCGGTCTGATTGCTTGTTCTGAGCATCATCAGTTGCCTCGTTACGTTGGCCAGTATCCTTTGTCATGAGACGTCTGTTTCCTTCTACGGCTCCATGTTGTTCCTAGATCGGCAGCTCGTGCATGTATGCTTCATTTCTTCTTTTCGAACTAGTTATACCAGTTTCGAAGCTAGTACATCCGTCAATTATTCTAAATCATGGTTTCGATCATGTTTTGTTTTTGAACTTTTTTTGATTTCCAAAATCTTTCAAAACTGCATCGAGACCACAACTTGATTTAATTGATTTTCATTAAATTGAAATTTTCCAAGTCACCTACCCGAAAGCAAACGCACAGTGTTTTCAAGTTAACTCATGAAACTGACGGAAGTGTGCAACTGTGACATATATATTGAGAGATAGCTAGAAACAGCTGTCATGGAAATTTATATTTGCATAACTGATTTTTGAGGTCAAATGCTAAACAAAACCTTCTCTTTGTGTTCATGAATGCATTATTCCATCGCTTTCTTCTAGTATATTTACATCTCTACTCACGTCACAAAAAATGTGCATTTCATCGATCGAATATTCAAAATATGTCTCCGGTTGATTAAGCGCGCATCTACTTGGTCTCCTGGCTTAAAGGGAAACGGAATGAAATTTGATCCAACGTTGGCAAAGAGGTTACCAAGAGGATGAATTTTTGGTTGACGCTTCTAACTCTGGCAAACGGTGAGTCGGGTACATTCGCACTAAAGATTGAAATGAGCACTGATGACGAATTTCGACTGGATATCATTCGAATGTTTTTTTACAAGGTGTATTTGAAACATGCCCAGGCCAATCTCTGACGTTTTTAAATATAAAATGTTTGAAAAATGAAAATCATTCTCCCCATACAGCACATGCTACAGATTACCCGTGGCCTGTAACATTCGAAACAGCCATCTTATTAACCGCTGATTTAAGGTGCTACGCTGAGATGTCGAATGATAGGAAATGAACCAGAACAAGCTTATAGCTTACAGCTGCATGGCATGTGAAGATCGAAACTCACAAGAATTGTATCGTTGCTTTCGGTAACTGAGTAGAGCCATGTATGCTGTTGTCCTCTTTAAAGCCGCAATACCCATGTCAGTGTCACATGCTCATTTACCACTGCAGCATTTTGTCAGGCACAGAGGCGCGTTTAATGAATTCACCATAGGTTATATGACACATCATTTAACCAACTTGAATAAATCTTGACTCGGTTGTTTCTCACATATGTATGTGTGTCTTTAAAGGAGCAGCTTGAGTAGGTAGTAATTATTTTAGCTATAAAAATGTTCTCTATTCTGATTATTTCGAATACGCTTGGAGTTAATCACCGACAAAGGCACTGAGAAGGATATTTTTTGCACTTATAATAACCTTTAGAAGTAAGCAATTCCTATCGGTTTCTAACACGTGTTAAGACTTTCAATCCTGAGCTATCTGAGACCCATAAGAGCTAGTGTTGACCCTAGACTCTCTCACGTTCCGTTCATTTGTAAACACCACAAAGGAGAGTTACAGGAGAGTTAAACCATACTTTTAATAGATTGATATGCGAGCGCGGTGGGATTTAAATGCACGACTTGGTGAGTGAGGCCATTAATTTTGTGTCTTAAGTTGACGTGGCTGAAAGCTGTTTCGCGATTTTACACTCAAGTGATCTTCTCAGTTGGTTTCGAAAGTCATGATCATTAAGGCAACAGAGAGCTGGCGGCTAAAGCTTTCCTAAACACATTTCTTATGTATATTCTCTTTTGAAAGAGATATTTATCAAGACGACAAAGTACACCTATTTGAGATATTTTGGCTGCTATTGGACCATAGAGTTTGTTACCGGTCAGCCTCTATGGCACAGTAAGTAGACTTGGTCCACTGTCGTTCTATCGAGCAGACTGAGCCAGTTTCGTATCCAGTGGCGCCAAGTCGGCCGACTTGCCTTTGGTTTTAATAACGTTTCCTTCAGAGGATCTTTTCATGAAAGTGTTTGTTTCCCCATTAATCACTGTAATTTGTATCTTTATTAAGCGGTAACCTCTATAAAGCGGTCACAGTATTACATATATATATTTTATATTTATATTATTATTTTCATTGTTTTCCATCTGTATCAAACGGTCACTGACAGCGACGCCACTCGAATATAACTAATAATAATCTTCCAAGTACCTTTGAATCCATGTTTCTCTCCTTAAATCAAAGTGAGTAGCATTTTTGAGCGAGATTCCCTGGACTAAGTGGTCAGTTATAAAGTAAAGTGGTGTATTTAATTTTCTATGTGATTGACCGCCTAATACAGGTTCGACTGTATGCCTTTACAGTCCAGAAAAAATAATTTCTCCCTGAGCCAAATTGTCTCTGAGTTGTTAGAGTTTAATCTTGATTTCCTAAAATGAACAGTTACGTTTTTCAATAGTTCCCGATATCTTTTCTGTCTGTCTCCTTTCTTAAATGGATTGTCATTGGCTCAAAAGTCTCTCTCTCTGCAAATTTCAATATAATAACTTTTTAAAAAATTTTTTTCACTTTTTTATTTTTTTTATTGGAAGGCTGTAAAGGAGCCCTTGTCCTAGATTTATTGTAGAGGCGCACTAGCTTGGAGTTAAATGATGTGTCCATTGAAAGGTTTTTTCTTTATTTACACCTAAGCCTTTAAAACCGGTATGTCTAAACTCCATAGACGACGGGCACAACTTTTATAGACGTGTACCTTTACAAGTAATAGGTATTTCACATGCCACAAACATCGTGCCCATACATTGTAAACAGCAGCCTTTGACCTCGCACACCGAAAGTGATCAAAAAGTACCCGAACTTTAGAGCATCAAGAGTCATGCAGGCCCCTATGTTTAGTTTATGTTGATCTACCAGCCCAAAAGAGAAAAAAAATTATTAAAATTTAACCCTAACAAGTTATTGCAGATCGCACCACCTCATATCCTTATATAGTGTAAAGAAATGGTTTTTCAGATATTTTAAAATGCAATATTTCCTGTTTTAGATTGCGTGATTTGTAATTTGAACGGCCTTTGTTAGCCCGGTTTGGGTGTAGACAATGTGTCCTATTGAGGAGCACTAGAAACTTTACAAAGGTGCGGCCTATTGGGATTAAAGGAGAATCAAGGTTATCATGTATAATAACCCCTACGTTTAAGAATCTTGCAGCTGGATTGACATCTTACACGAATGCGACCAAGAGCTTTTATGAAAATAAATTTCAAATCCTTCATCTGCTATCTTAAATCTCGCACCAAAACGATCTTTAAATGTAGTGCGCTGAGATCGAAACATAAACTGCCGACATGGCTGAAAAAATGCAAGCAGGATAAAAAAAAAAAAAAGAAACAGGGAGCTTGCGTAGCAAGTTCTTGTAATTGATAATGACCTTGTCGATCATGTTATCAAAAGCACTTGGCGGAAAAATGGACTGCTCAAGGTGACTTCGTGCATGCTTCGTGCAAAAGAGGCAGTTCTATGGCCACATCGACCACTCATCAACAAGATTGATCGTTCATTTACTTGTCTAGCCATGACTGTCATCATATTGCTTTGTGTGATTTCTATTGGTCTATTTAAAATCTTACGTCATCTGCGCTGAAACGGGAGCACTAAAATTCTTTATTTGGTTAACTGGGGTGACAGTGTTCTGTATGTCACATTGGGTGTGAGATGAACTAACCGGAACATGCGATGATGTGCTCAGGCAAGACCGTTCTCTTTTTCATTTTGTACGTCGCAACAAACAGTGAGTTTCCAATCTTACTAATTACTAGTCAGGTTACTCGTGACTGGATCACATGGATTACTCTATGAAAGCAGACTCTTCAGCAAACGGTATGCGGTTATCAAAATCCTTAGTCATCAAGACAAACCCTAACATGTCAACATCGCCTGATCCATTAGGAGTACTTTATTTTGCTTCTCGTGCAGTTGGAGTGATATCTGTCGTCGGATGAAAGAAAAACAAAGTCATTGTAGATTATGCTTGCTCGCTTTAAGTGAAGCAGAAAACACGCATGTCTTCGAAATCGCTTGAATTTCTACAAGTCGGCAAATGTTTTTCAAAAATAAGTGGCGCTGCAAGACTGAACTGGTTACAAACCAATCTGGAAATAGTATTCTTTCGAAATATTTTGTATTCCTTATAATAAACTATCGTTGAAATCATGGCTACATGTACAAAACAGGGTCAGATAAACCAGCTTAAATGAGCTGATATTTCTTTTTGTGTGACTAATGATGATGATGTATTTGAAAAACTGCATCATTATTACACATGTATAATGCTAAGTCAGCGTAAAACTTACCTTTATAACGTGAAATTCGGATAATTTGTATTGAATTTTAATTTACCACACTGGAATAAATACTTAGTCAGCTTCATCCATCTAAAACTTGGCTAGAGGCCATAACAGGTGGTTGGTTGAACCACAGCATTTGCTCACAGATTGTTTTCCTCGTCTCCCCTTCGAATATTCACTATTTGATTAGACTGGGAGCGAAAAATTCTGTAAACCATTTGAAGTCTCAATCAATCATTGCGATAAAGAATAGCATTGTGTCTTCATATTTAAAAAAAAACGTTAACGACAATGAGTCTGTTGGAAGCTTTGAAGTGAATAATTTGCTGAACGTTTCATGGCAAACTGTGCGCGTGGTCGTGATAGGGCATAATGTTGTTACTTTTCGTTCTGTAGACTTTCTTTAACATTTAGATCTCGACATAGATGTCCTCATAATTTTACATGATGATCTCACGCTTCAAGATCCACTCAATTCAAGTTATTCCTGTTATACATGCCGTTATTGAAATTTTCTCAAGGTGGACAATGGCATTGACTTGGCATGGATGACTGCTCTATAACTTCCGCTCCGCTTTCTAACACGCAATGTTCCCTTTTGAAACAGAGTGAACAAAGGAACATGTTCAAATTTTTGAGGAGCTTTAGAATTTCACTCATAAAGCCCACTTGAGATGAGTACTTATCAAACGACCAGTGGTTGAGTCATTGCTTGAGTGGACATGTTGCTTCATAGCGGTTGCGACAATCAGCTCTATTGTTATCTTCTGAATATATGAAAAAGCGATGCGGAAAGTTGGTGAGCTCTTTTTGAGGCACATAGCATACCTTTGCTTATTAAAAAAAAAATAATTTTTCAGCCGTTTTTAAACTGCAACCTTTGAGTTTAAATTTCCATGTTTCATGTTTATGAGATGTGCAAAAAGAATATTTGAAGTTTGATTCCTTACTCCGAGTTTTCGGTTAAGGTTGAATTACTTTCTTCTGGAAATTGTAAAATGAATGTTCGAGTGATTATGCTTGTTTTGCTTTACTGTTAGAGAAGAGCTAAATTTTAACGAAAACAATGATGGATCGCGATAGTTAGATAAGTCTCTGAGAGACAAAAAAATACGCTTTGACAACTAATTTTCTGCATCGTTTACGGCCATTCATTGCGGCCTGATTACAAAGAGTAGATGCATTTTTGTAATTAAATATAAAGTTATATCCTTTACTCAGAGCTATCTCGAACTTGCAAGAGGGGCGTTCTAAAATTGGGGCTCAACATTTAGATCCCCTTTCACTGTGATTGTATCAAAATCCGATGCAATAAGGACGAATAATCTGAGAAATTACACCAATAAAAAATCAACGCTGAAGGTAACGTGTACCGGGACGCATCTTTCCTGAGCATAAAGTTCTTTTACTTTAATGTCCACTGTTTTAAACTCCGATGACGCAAATGACTGAAATTTTATGGAGGTAACTGATTTATTTGAATATTTTCTTTGTAGTTTTGATATCTTGTGCCCTGCTGACTGGCGCTGAACACAGTAAGTAAACAGATCTCGTTCAACAACTGCCTTTGTGCATCTTGAAAACTATAATTTTCAGCTGAATGAAAGCTATATATTTGTTTCTTTTTTGTCGTTGTTTTGTTTTATGTTTTATAATCTTTTTGAAGGAAACCCTTCATTGCATTAGTTTTGCTGATAGAGCCTGGATGGACTTGAGGAAAGAACTCGTAGTCTAATGCACCATTCAGTTGGTGATTAAGCTGGAATTTCTTGCAAAGATAAAAGTGTAAACAACCGAAGTTTTTATTTTACGTCTCTAGGTTGTGACTTTGACAATGGTTTGTGCAATGGCTGGGCAAACGATTATTACCAGGATGTTTTTGATTGGACCAACCTGCGTGGTTCCACTCCTTCATACGATACAGGACCATCCTCTGGCCATGGAGGATTTGGTAAGCTCGCTAGTCCTGCCCCTCTGTCCTTCAAACCTTCTGCTAATTATAAGTGATAAAATGAACTCTGAATATGATTGCAAGTTTTGGGTAGGAAACAAGTTTGCTAGTTGATTCACACACCTCCATATTCGAATTCTAAAAAAAAAACAAAAAAACAAAAAAGCAAAAAAAAAAAATATATATATATATATACCTTAGAGACCAGTGAAAACAAGGTTTATTTGTGTTATGACTAAGTAGCATGCACATTGCACCGTAAGAGGTTGACGATTCTGACGTTGGCGGTTTTTTTCCTCCAAAACACTGCATATGACTTAGTACAAATGTGTATGTATATGTCTGTGAGTGAAAACGGACCTTAACATATCGTTTTAACGTTTCCTTCCAGGGAAATACATGTATATAGAGACATCTTCGCCTCGGCGTCTTTGGGACAATGCCATACTTGAGTATTCTGTACCAAGTAACGACGTTGGGAAATCATCCTGTTTATCGTTTTAGTATCACATGTACGGAGACACAGTTCATACCCTTAATGTATTCAATGGAGGAACGAAAGTGTTCACGAAATCAGGAGACCAGGGAAATCTATGGTTGAAGGGAAAGATTAGTATAGCAACGTTACAGCACAAAGTAAGCTGTCTTTTCACGTAAGATTAATAGTTTAATTAAGGCTCACTTACATGTGTATGGTGTAGAAGAAAACACCCCGTTTATAAGTACATATATAGAGTACTTTTGATCCTGGTTTCATAGCCATTTTATTCCGGTTCAAATAACAATAGGATTTATTCGCGTCACCTACTTTAAGGAAACATTGCGAGGAGACTCACAACCTTTAACGCTTGGGCCGAAACGCCAACGAGACACACCCTGCAGGTTACGGAAACGCTAAACACAAGAGCGAGGGTGAAAGAAATCCTTGAATTACGTATGTAGTGAACAAATGACAAAATAAGTCAAGCCTTGCCATCATCACACCATTGCTGGATTCTTAGTTAGTCCAATCCATTTGTGTTTTAGATAAAGTTCGAAGGAATCAGAGGTACAAGCTACACGGGTGACATTGCCATTGATGACGTATCCATCGTCCCTGGAATTTGTAAAGGTACGCTTGGAGTACATTAACATTTTATCTTTCAGTCGTTTCTCATTCATCAAGAAAAAGAGAACAAGGGACTCAATTTTTTCGAAAGAATTTATAATAGTCTCTGATTGAACCACAGCATGAATTTCTTGTATCTAGGTCGTGAAAAAACGTTTTTGTCTTTCTAAAGTATATAATTTGAAGGCAGTGCAATGGTTCGAAGATTATGTGTGGTCAGTCAAATTACTTCAACCATAGCATTTAAAAATTATCTAAAAGCCTATCCCTTTGGAATCTACCTAAAGACATTTTCAAAGGTGGAACTTTATAGTACTAGCGATGTTGATTATTTTTTTTCAGAATGCAAAGAGGCGTTGGACCAATCTTTTGGAAGACTGGACATAAGATATACGAATAAATTTGACCCTTACTGTAACTGGTTGATCGAAAACGGTGGTATGGCTAAAAAATTTGCTGTTCTTTCGATCCATCAAGTGTACTTTGGCCACAACAGGTAGGTTCGGCGCTTATGTTGTTTCTTTCAAGTTTCTATTTAAAATTCGACAATTATGGACATACAGGTCCACACAAAGTTGGGTCTCGTTAAGCCTCTGAATAAGACTCTCTATTGCGAATAAGAAACTGCTATATGTGCTTACATTTACGGTCTTTACATTGTCCCTTAGCGAATACGTCAAAGTGTTTGATGGAAATGGGACAGAGGTTGTGTCCATAGACAGATGGAATTCGTCTTCGACACGTTTTCAAGAAATTTCATTTGGATCTTCCGAAAATGTTACGATTCAAGCTTCACTTATCTATAGTTGGAGTTACATCAAAATTGACTACGGTATTATGAATCAAGGTTTGGAATCAGGTGAGTAAAAGCGATATAAAAGTAATTCATAAATCGGATCAAAATCAGTATCTGGGCAACTGCCCACCTACCCCTCCCCTAACCCAACAACAGTTAATGTTGGGTTAGGGGAGGGGTAGGTGGGCAGTTGCCCAGCTACTGATATTGATCCCATATATCTAATTTAATCGACTCAACTGCGATTGCAATTTCACGATTATGTTTGTCTTTTAAGGTTAAAATATAGGAGATAGATGACAAAATAATCACATTTTTCCTCTGATGTCAACTACGATCATAAGATGTTCTATAAATTATTTCACATCAGCAATAGCACTATTGTTAATTTTTCTCTCAAATATTCATTTTCCTGAGGAAGCAGGCCTGGCAAACTATTTTAGGACTGAATGGAGAGGGTGGTAACAAATCCCGATAGATAAATAGTGATTGATAGTTTAATTAATTAACGACTGTAATGTTATGTAGCTCGACCCCTCGCTAACTGGAACCTTACTGTGACGAACAAAACAACTAAAAGTATACGAATATACTGGAATAACCCAGTTAATGAGCTCAGCTCTGGAGTAAGTTTCTACGTGGCCATTGCTGAAAGAATGATGAACACTAGCAGCGTATCCAACGGAAAATTACTACCTGGAAACACAACATCATCTGAGATAACAAACCTTGAAAGTTACACGGAGTACAGCATTTACGTTATTTTCGTGGATAGCAAAGGATCACCATTTAAAAGTGCAGTTCTTGCAACCAAGACTGACGAAGGAAGTAAGTTGGTTGTATTCTTATGGGTAATAACACGATATCGAGTGCAATTTGATGTGAATAAGACCGAGTAAAATTTCCAAAGACAACAAAATTGCACGAGCCCGAAAAAAAGGGTCATAGAGAGTCAAGACGAGGCTATCTGTAATTTGAAGTCGTGTTACAACTTTGCACTCGTGTTACATGAAAATTGCACTCGTTTTCCGTCAATCAGACGCAAGTAATTTTTTTCATGTATGTTGTTACACGCATCATAGAGAAGGAGACGCAAGGACCCACCCAACGTATCGACTAGTGTAGAGAAGCCAGTATCGCATACCGTCTTTGTATGTACGCTATCTTACTGAGTATAAAAATGGCTT